GGCCCAGAAGCTCGGAACAGGCGCCCTGGGCCGACGTGCTCGGAGGGGCGGCCATCTTGCGATGCGGCCCTCGAACGTGTCGAATTAAAAGATTATCCCAGCAAAGCAACCTAACAGCTATGTGTAGAAGCAGATCTGGAAACACATCTGGAAACGAGACGCTGCTATCAATAGTGGATGAGTCTGCAAAGAAGGCTCTACAATCAAAGGATCAGCGCATTCTTGTTGTGCCCATCCCAAACGAGACGCTGCTATGCAGGGATGTAGGTCCAAACGAGACACTGCGATCAATGGGTTTAATACTGCTTGCTACTACAGATGTGTCTGGGAACGAGACGCTGCTATCAATAGTGGATGAGTCAGCAATGCAGGCGCTGCTGCCGACGAGACAGCACATTCATTTTCTGCCCCTCCCAAACAAGACGCTGCTATCAATCGATGTACGTCCAAACGAGACACTGCTATCAATAGTGGGAGGTGTATAAAAACGAGACTCTGCTATCAATACTGGAAGTGTGTCGAAACGAGACACTGCTATCAATAGTGGGAGTTGTATGCAAGCGAGACCCTGGTATCAATACTGAGCTGTATAAAAGAGAACCACTGGTATCAATGGTGCAAGTTGTTGAAAAAACGAGACTCTGCTAGCAATACTGGAAGTGTGTCAAAACGAGACACTGCTATCAATAGTGAAGGGTGTGTAAAAACGAAACTTTGCTATCAATCGTAGAAGTGTGTCAAAGCGAGACACTACTATCAATAGTGAAAACTGTGTTGAAACGAGACTCTGCTATCAATACTCGAACTGTGCCAAAACGAGACACTGCTACCAATAGTGGGAGTTGTCTAAAAACGGTACTCTGCTATGAGTACTGGAACTGTGTTAACAAGAGACACTGCTATCACTAGTGGGAGGTGTATAACAACGAGACTCTGCTATCAATACTGGAAGTGTTTCAAAACGAGACACTGCTATCAATAGTGGGAGTTGTATGAAAACGGGACTCTGCTATCAACCCTGTTGTCATCGTCATCATCGCCGTCGTTGTCATCGTCCTCCTCGTCTTCGTCGCCGCTGCCCTCGTCGTCGCCGCTGCCCCCCTTTGCTTTCTCTAGCCGGCCAGTTTTTTTCCGCCCCGGACGGCGCTCAGTGCCTCCAAGCAACTGTTCTAGCGGAGAGCCGGCAAAACGTACAATCAGAGAAACACTGCACAGAGCCGCAGGCTGAGAAGCACCGCGGCCATGCAATCCTACAACTGTTGCAACTAGTAGTACAAGCACGCAAGCTGAGAAGCACCGCACAAAAGAAAACAAGTATGTGAGACCCAGATATCATCGTGGTAATCGCCCTCCGTGCTGGAAACGCCAGCCGGAAGATTGTCTTCGCACAGGAAGTCACGCCAGTCCGGAATCTAAGAAGCACTGCAGACAGCCGCAGGTTGAAAAGCACCGCGGACATGCAATCCTACAACTGTTGCAACTAGTATTACAAGCACGCAGGCTGAGAAGCACCGCGCATGCATAACCAGTATGTGGAACCTAGATATCCTTGGAATCGACGCTGTCAGTGCTGGAGACGCCAGCCGGAAGATCTTCTCCGCTTAGGAAGCTACGCCAGTCCAGCGGCTGCCAACTGTCGAGGATGCGCCGGGACCCACCGCCTGTGCTGCCGCCGATGTCCAGGTAGTCTCCCTCCGCGTTCTGGAGGCGGCCATGTCCTAGCGCCCCAATCGCCTCGTTCCGGTTGGCTAGCAACTCGCCGCTCCCCCATTTCCGGAGCACCTCCAATTCCCTGCGCGCGAAAGTCTCCGCCTCGGCGCTGTGGCGCAAGATCTCCTGATGCCGGGCGGGCCGTGCACCCTCGTTGTGGAGTGCGACGGCTTCAGCTCTGTTGCGCTGGAGTCGGCGGCGCCCGTCCTGCGAGACCTGTTCACCAGCGGGTGGCGGCGCGGCTGCGCCCCCGGGCTCGGGCTGCAAGACTCGGCGGAGCATCTCAGCATCGAAGTAGCCGGAGAAGGCCAGCAACTCCCAGATCTGCTTTGCCGGCAATGCGTTGCAGATGCCGGTGAAACCGCTTGCGCTTCTGTTCCCTGGCGAACTGTTTGTTGGCGTTCCCCTTGCCTGTCTTTTGGGCCTTGCTTCCTTTGCTCGCCTTGCTTCCTTTCCTCGCCTTGCTTCCTTTGCCCGCTTCCTCGCGCCCGTTGCTCGCTTTCCCCTCGTCGGCATCTCGTTGCTGCAGCGCGCGCTGGTGGTCAGACTGCTCGTGCTCTTGTCGAACACTTTGAACCAGTTCCCGGCGTTGGTCGTCGGTGAGGGCGTGCCGCACGTCAACGACGCCCTTGCTCTGCAGAAGCTGCTGGCGAACCCGGAGGACAGAGAGAATGGCTCGGCCTGTCTCCTCCTGCGACGCGTAGGCGGTGTCAGCGTCTCCCTCCGCGGAATCTCTCTCCGCGGACTTCCTCTTCATGAACAGCAAACGGCTCAAATGGTCGAGGAGTTCGGGGTCGTACTGCGCGTCGTGCCTTCCGCCCCAGAAATTCCTCATCTCTTGGTGCAGGGCCCGCGCGCGCTGGCTAACCTCATCCTCGGGTTCGTCGATGGCCTCGCCGTCGGCCTCTGGCCTCTCCGCGCGCGCAGGAGAGAGGCTCAGCGAACAGTCTGGAGCGTCTGGAAGCTGGGGCGTCCGGAGGGGCAGGGAGCGTCTGGGGGCGGGGGCGCCTGCCCCCCCGGAGTCGGAGCCGGAAGCGTTTCCTTCACAGTCTCCGAAGGTACACTTCCGTTTGCCCCCCACCACAGGCTGAGCAGCACAGGGAAGAACGAAGACAGCCGCGATAGCATCGCGTGAGTCGTTGCGCATGCCACGGCCCCGGTAAGGAAAGCCAACAGCGATGGACTTGAAAGTCGCGACGGCTCCACCGACTGCGACGTTGTCGCCGATGAGGTCTGCCGGGGCGCAGAAGACCCCCCACGGCGCGTCGTCGTCAGTCCGGCGCTGCAAAGTTTTACGCGCGCCCTCGGCTTTGAGGTTGTTGTCGCCGAGAATGATGCGCACGACCCGCTGAGAGGTAGACGGCCCTCGAAGGCTGTTCAAGTGTTGCCGCAGAAGGTTCACTGCGCGCCGTCGCGCTGGCACGCTGGGGGCGTTATCGCCGCAAACGATGCGCAGATTGCCGGTGATCACGTGCACTGTGCCATAGCCTTTGATCTGCACATCGAACCGTGCGATCGCAGCGTCCACATCGTGCATTCCGGGGAGCTAGAAGATCTCTGCGTCGCCGCGCGGGGACACATCGACGGGCTGAGGGGCACCAGCGAAGCCCCACATGCTCACGCAGTTGTGGACCGCAGCGACGCGAACGTTGTCGCCGAACGGCTGTCTCAAGATGCCCGCCGCGTTGGTTCCAGCTCTGCTGAGGCCCTTGCGACGCGCGCCCACCTCGCAGCCAAACAAGAAGTCAGCGTCAGCCTCCGCTACGACTTGGACGCACAAACGCTGAAAGTTTGCGAGGTGCCTCGGGGACTTCTTTCCCGTCATCATATCCTGCTCGAACCCGATGTTGAAGGAGGCGACCGTAAAAGACGCAAGCTGAAGACCTCGAGGGGGGCCAGGCGCGGCCCCAGACGCGCCTCCGTCTTCCGTCGCAGGCTGAAGAGCACCGCGAGAACCAGAGGCCGCGGCCCCAGACGCGCCTCCGTCTTCCGTCGCAGGCTGAAGAGCACCGCGAGAACCAGAGGCTTGCGAAGGCACGAAAGGCGCGGCGAAGTTGGGGGCGTACATTGCAATGCGGAGAACGCAGGAAAGGCACGTTCTGGCGAGGGCCACGGCAACGTGGAAGGCACGGTCTGAGCCAAAGACGGCGAGCAGATGCAGGGGGGAAAAAGGGGTTGACAGAAAGAGGGTGGGAGGCTTCGATCGACTCACGACTCACTGTTTTCGACAACTGTATCTCCAAACGAGACGCTGCTATCAATCGCTGTTTGGTCCAAACGAGACACTGCTATCAATGGATGTAGCCCCAAACGAGACACTGCTATCAATGGATGTAGCCACAAGCGAGACACTGAGATCAGCCTCAGTCTGCCTTCGGCCTCGGCCTGCAGGGAGAAAGGGGGGGGAGGAAGGAGTAAGGGGCCACCCTCGTCCTGCTCCTCCTGCTCCTCCTGCTACTGCTACTGCAAGTGTCAGATTCTGGCGGGAACGCCCAGTGCACGATGAAGCCTGGGTCCGCCGTCTTGCCCTGCACGATGACGAACAGAACGAGACGGCAATCGGGCGACGAGAGATCTGACGGGGACATCCAGTCAGCAAAGCGTGGCCCGGTAATGGAGTTCTGGGAACTCGAAGAAGACGAAGTGGCCTGCAGTTGGCTCCCGGCATCTAAAATGTGGCCCGGGAGTGGAGTTCAGGGAACTCGAAGACCACGAAGTGGCCTACTGTTGGCTCCGGGCATCCAACATGTGGCCCGGGAGTGGAGTTCTGGGAACTCGAAGACCACGAAGTGGCCTACAGTTGGCTCCGGGCATCCAAAATGTGGCCCGGGAGTGCGCCGGATGCCTCCCCGGGCGATTTTGCGAAGATGTCCCAAGCGATTTGGGCGCCGCCGGATGCCTGCCCGGTTCCTGTCCGGGTCCCGCCCCGACCCCCTGAGGAGTCATGGTGCCTCTTTTGAGCCCACTAGAAACCTATCAGCAAAGGCTGTTAGGTAATCGTCCAGCTGCGAGAGGCGCTCTGGCGCGACCCGCGGCCTTGCGTAGCCCCCAAGCAGGTTGAGGCACTCCGCGGTGCCCCGAGCGCGCCCCTCGATCAGCTGGGTGCGAGACAGACAGGCCCAAACCAAACGGGATAGTTCAGGCGGTGGAGATGGAGCAAGTGGCGACGCGGGCGCCGCAAACGGCAGCATGCCATCGTCGAGAGACTGGACATCAGCAGGTCCACAAAACTGGCTCTCAAATTGCGGCGATCGGGCCAAGCAACCTCCCGACCGCTGGCCCCAGGTCACCCCGTGTCCCTCTTGCCCGACTGGGCGGTCTTCTCCTCGCGCGCCTTGCGCTTCTGCTTCTGAATATCCGTCTCCTTGGCGAGCTGGTCGGTGGCGTGCTTGGCGACGCCCGGTGCCATCGCGACGCCCCGGCGGGCGCTCTGCTTCGAGAGGCCGATGTAGTGCTCGACGCCCTCGATCTTCATGCTCCCCATGGTCTCCTCGATCAGCTGGTGGGCACGCGACGCCACCTCCATGCTGGCGAGGTAGGAGCCGTCCACCTGGTCGTAGGTGACGGCCATCTCGATGGCGAAGCCGAGCAGGTCGTGGACGTGCGCGGCCGCCGAGTCCTTAGTACAGCCGCTCTCTTGCATCCACTTGGTGTGGCGGCCGTCGAGGGTGCCGCCGTGATCTACGATGTAGTCGCACAACCACTTGAAGCTGCGCTCGCCGACGAGCGGGAAGTCGTCGTGCTTCTCCTGCCTCATGGCCGACACCGCTTCGCGAAAGTCGCGGTGCCTGCGGACCTCCCGCGCGCGCTGGAGAGGTCCGAGGAGGCGAGCATCGTCGTCGGCCAGCTTGTCCAGCACCTCGACAGGCAGCGGGACGGGGCGGAGCTCGATCGGCACGACGAAGCCGCCCGCCGTGCAGTAGAGCCCGCTCTCGCCCCAGACCACGTCGCCAACCTTCGGGACGACCTCGTCCAGCTGCTGGCACTCGTCCGGGATCGCCTTCGTCACAAACCAGGCCGAGCCAGGAGGGGCGGCGCTCTCGTCAGAGAGCAGCACCGCGCCAGGGCCGCCCTCTGGGGTCGCGGTGCCCCCGGACTCGCCGTCGGCGCCCCCAGCCCAGCGGCGGCGTCGCCAAGCGGAGGCGCGTCGGGGTCCAGCGCCTGGCCCGCGGGCGGAACGCTGGGCGCGCCCCGGGGCGCGGCCACGGGCGGGCTCTTGCGCGCCACGCGGCGCACGAACCCTGGCACGTCGGCGAAGCTGATCGTCATGCTCTTGGAAGGCCGGCCACCGTCGCGCATGAAGGCAGTCGGTTCGAACTCGACCACGCCCGCGGCGCGGGCGGCCAGACGCGCGTCCCGAAGGCGGAGAGCAGCTGGCGTCGCCCCCATCGTGAGGGACACGCGACTGGGTCCGTCCCCATCGGGCCCAGCCGCCATCTCTTCAGGGTACACGTCGCCGTCGGGCGTGAGGCACATCCAGCAGGTGTTGGGGAACAGCCCAGCGGACGGCCACAGCAGCAGCCGTTCGTGCCAGATGTTCGGGTCGTCCTCATAGTTGAAGATGACCACCCCCCCCGGCACGAGTTCATTGAAGAACGATTCCGCCTCGGCGACGCTCCCGTCGCTCGCGATGAGCGTCAGGTTCGCTGGTAGCAGGGCCATGGCGACGACGAAGGGCGGCGATGCAAGGGCCACATTGCGTCAGCGCCGCGGTCAGCACCACCCCGAACGCGTCCCAGAAGAGCGAGTCGGGCTCCTCAGGCGGCACGGGCCTGGCGACGCGGAGCTCGGTCAGCTCCGCCGACAGGTTGGCCAGCGCGACCTACACCTGCCCCAGCCAAGCGTGGCACTGGCTGAGGTTGGCCGCGTGCGCCGCGGCGAGCTCGGCCTCGCGCTCAACGGCCAGCTGAGCCGCGAGGGACGCCCGACGGTCCCAGTCGTCGGGCGGGCCGTCTCCGCCGCCTGTGCGCAGCAGTCCAGGCTGCCACGCGTCCAGAGCACACCAGGCGCAGACCAGCAACCACGATGGCGGCCGGAAGGCTACAGGGCGCATGCGTGTCAGGTGCTCCCTGAGGCGAAAAAAGCTTGAGCGAAACGTATACGGATATCTGTGACTCATCTCCTACACGTTCTGAGGACAAGTCTCATCATAATCATCAACATCGTCGCCATCGTCATCGTCACGGGAATCGTCACCGTCATCGTCATTGTCATCGTTATTGTCATCACCACCATCACCGCCATCATCATCATCATCATCATCATCATCAGCATCATCATCATCGACATCATCATCACCGCCATCATCATCATCATCATCATCATCATCATCATCATCATCATCATCATCATAATCATCAGCATCGTCGTCGATAATCACCATCCTCATCCTCATCCTCATCCTCATGCTCATCCTCATCCTCATCCTCATCCGCATTATCATCCTGATCCTCATCCTCACCTTCATCCTTCTCTCTCTTGCCCTCGTCCTTGTCCTCGTGCCTCTCCCTGGTTGTCGGCCTCATTTCTCCTCCTTCTTTTCATCCACCTTCGCATTCGCCTCGTCCTCCTCATCATCCTCCATCGGGATGGCCCCCAGTCCTCCTCATGCCTCTTCCTCCGCCCAACCACGTACATGAACATCCCCCCAGCGGGCGATGCCGCCATCGTGCTACGAATGCTCGCGTTATGCGCTATCTCGAAGCCCATGCGAGTCCATGTGCGTGTACGTCTTTGTTTCGATCCTGGTTCTAGGAAGGCTGGGGGCAGGGAGCTTTTCAGAGGAGGTCGGTCCTCCCTGAAGACTAGAACGCTCTGTGCCGTCCTAACAGGCGGGGGTCTTCAGAAAACCATCAGGCCGTCTCCCTGCATTTGCGGTGCGCTGGAGGCCAAAACGATTGTTTAGGCCTGTGGAGTTTGTTGTTGGCCTGGCGCGCGCGGGTTTTGGCCTTGCGCGCCTGGGTTTGGGCCTAGCGCGGCTGGTGTTTTGGCCTTGCGCGTCGGCCATTATGGCCTTGGTCCCAGAGATCTCAGTGTTCACCTTGGTTGTCCGCCCTGTTTCACTACATATGGCTCTTCGCCTCTTTTCCCGGCCCAGGGGGGGCAGGCCTGGGAAGCCAGGGACGAACCGCGTAGGAAAGCAAAAGAGGTCGGAGCTTGACAGCATAGGTGTGCAAGAAAATAAGAAGGGCCCTGGGCCAGGGGTGAGGGCCCCAAGAAAATTCGGGGCCACAAAATGACCGTAGCCACAAACATACAATGACCTAGGATGGCCCAGGGCCCAGGGCCGAGGGAGGCCCAGGCGAAACTAGGTAAGCGGACGAGCGGGCACTGCGGGCACGAAACTAAAGAGGCCCGAGGCCAGGGGGGCATCCCGGGGGCGAGGGGCCAGGGGGAGGGCCCAGGGGAGGACTGGGGCGGAGCCAGGTTGGTGGTTGGCCACTGTGGGCGATCGTAAGGGGGAGGCAGGGGCAGCAACCCGAAGGCAGCCGGGAGGCGAAACAGCCGCAGCGTGACCTCCCACATCCGCACCCCGTGGTAGGCAGCTCTGAGGAATGGAGGCGACCCGCTTTGCACCTGGAGTGCTCCAAGCGAGGCACATGTGGATGCGGAAAAGGAACTTGAACAAGGATCCGCCCTGGGGTCAACCAGCCTGTCCGTGCAAGGCATAACGCAGTCAGACCATCCGGATCCGCTCCAAACCCCGACCCCCGTCCAACCGCTACGACCTGAGTCCTCCCCGACTCCCAAGGCGCACTGATCAGCCAGAGACGGCGGGGCGAAGACCTAGGCAGCTGGGTCCGGACGGAAGGCTTGCTAGGGCCCAGGAGCTTTCTTCGCATAGGATCCCCCCAGACAGGGGGGCCTGGCAGCACTCGGATGCCTCTGTAATTAACCCTCGCGTGGCCCTGTGCAACTCTGGGCGGAAAGGTGCCAAGAGAACCCTGGGGTCTTCGTCGTACGAGCTGGCATCCGATACGGCTAATACGGTCCAATATGTGACGACTTTCGTGGGGCGGCCCGCAACGGTCAAGCAACGTGACGTGGAGGCGCGGGGTGTGACTTGGTTTTGCCTGGAAGCGAAAGGGAGAAGGTAAGTCACCCTCTAAGGCCTGCCACTGCTGACCTTTCTCGCAAGCGCTCATCCCAGCACGGTAGCTGATGAAAGTGGGCTCCATCTTCGTCTCGACCATCTCGCCGAGCAGGGTCAGAGCCTGCTGTTACTGCTGACCGTTCCGAAAGCGCTGATCCCAGCGTTGTAGATGATGGTATCGGGCTCAAGTTTCGTCTCGACTATCCAGCTGAGCAGCGACAGGGCCCGCTGCCTCTGCTGGCCTGTCTCGCAAGCGCTGCCGATGACAGTGCAAGCATCGTCTCGACCATGTCGCTGAACAGCGATATGGCCTGCTGCCACTTCTGGCCTTCTCTCCAACGCGCTGATCCCAGCGTTGTAGCTGATGGCAGTGGGCTCCAGCGTCGTCTCGACCATGTCGCTGAGCAGCGACAGAGCCTGCTGCCACTTCCGACCTTCTCTCCAACGCGCTAGTCCCAGCGTTGTAGATGATGGTATCGGGCTCCAGCTGCGTCTCGAACATGACGCTGAGCAGCGACAGGGCCTGCTGCTACTGCTGGCTTTTCTCGCAAACGCTCCTCCCAGCACGGTAGCGGAATGCAATGTATCGTCACGACCATGTCGCTGCGCGGCGACAGGGCCTGCTGCCACTGCTGACCTGTCTTGCACGCGCTGTTCCCAGCACTGTAGATGAGGGTATCGGGCTCAAGTTTCGTCTCGACCATGCGGCTGAGCAGCGACAGGAGGAGGAGGAGGAGGAGGGCGAGCTAATCCTCTTGCGGCGGAAGGGAGGGGGGAGGGGGACAGGGCCCACTGCCACTGCTGACCTTTCTCGGAAGCGCTGATGCCAGCGTTGTAGATGACTAATGTGCACCCGTGCTTGCTGCCACTGGCGACGGGGGTTGCCGAACCAAGAGGGCCCCAGGACGCCGCCGGGCGCGGGCCCACCATTCTGCCACGAGAGGCTTTCCTGTGGCAGAATGCACCTGTCTTGGGGGGGCCCGAAAGTCTCAAGAGGGCCGCAAGAGCGCCCCCAGGGGGCCCCAAGAGGGCCCCACACCGCATGCACATGATATGCTTCTTGGGCTTGCGAGAGGGGCACCCAAAAACATGCGTCATGGGGAACGTGGACCCACCGGAACCGATCGTGATGCGGAACGTGGTCCCGCAGCGGGAGGGGCACGTGAAGCTGAACGTGATGCCGAGGCGGCCGCACGTGGTGCCCGAAGGCGGACTGCGGGAGAAGCCGAACAGAAAACCCATCAAGGAGCTACCCAAGACGCTGCAGGAGGCGGCGGACCCGCGGCCGAAGGATGGTTCGAACCCGGAGCTGAGGTAGGGGAGTCTGTTCCGCTGTCCGCCCCTCCCATCCCGAAGGATACCAAGATAGCCCCAAGATGAGCTGCAACGATTGGCACCAAACCTTGTAAGCTTCATGCTGTCCTCCGCCCCAACAACAAAGCCAAGGGAGTTTTAAGTACACACGCCCCTCACGCACTTCGGGCCACGTGCGCCCCCAGTGGCCATAAGCTTGTTACGACGCCTCCCCATCCCTAAGAACACAAACATGGCCACCAATCCCACCAGCCTTCAGGGCGTAGATGGTTCAACGAATTTTGTGTTCTCTCCGCCCAAACACCTCCTTCCCCTGCTCGGGGAGGAGTTTACCCCTCCCCATCCCCCCCCCCCGGGCCTGGACGGGGCGCCTCGCGAGGTAGCATAACGCCCTTTTCGGCCTCAGATGGCTCCAAGGGGGCCTCGGAGATCCCAAGATGGCCTCCAAGACAACTCAAGATACCTCAAGCTGGTTCAAATTAGCCTCCGACACACGTCCAAGAGGCCTCAAGACGGCCCCAAGACGGTTTCGAGTGCCCTCCGAGACCTCCAAGGACCCCCCAAGAGGCCAAAATGGATCCAAAACTTAAGACATCTATGATTGTCACCTTCTTCTGTTTTTTGTTTGCTTCCGATGGTCTTGTGAGGCCCAGATGGCCCCAAGATGGCCCAAGACAGCCCGAGGCGGAATAGTGCCCCAAGTGGACCTCAACAGCGCCCAAGCGACGCCCAAGAGCGCCCCAAGACGGCTCCAAAACACTATTTTTAAGCCTCCGAGATGGGGAACTTGAGTTTAGGACCCCTACCCTTTTTGAGCCATAGGGGCCAAGCGCCCAGGAGGTCCAAGGGGGCAAAACAAACAAATATGCCAAAATGTTTAGTTTGAGGCGTTGCGCTCGTCGCAGACTGGGCCGTGGGATCTCCAAATTATCTGCGCGGCCTACCGCTACCGCCGGCCCGTGCGAGTATGGAGCGCGGGCGGGTACTCGGAGCTCTGCCCGCCCTGCAGCCTGCTGGGCCAGGCCTCAGGCGGGGAGGGGCAAGAGGAAGCAGGGGTTGCTCCGCTGCTCCGCTGCTCGCCCTGCGGGGAGCGCGCGCGCGGAGCGGGGGGTGCTCCGCTGCTCCTGTGGCCCGGCCCACAGAAGGTCGTGACTTGGGTTCTGGCCTGTGGAGCTCCTGGGGCCCGAAGGAGGAATCTTGACCTGGGTGTTGGCCTACCTGTGGGGCCCCCAGGGCCCAAAGGAAGCATCGTGACCTGGGCTTTGGCCTGTGTTTTTTTGTTTGGGGGGGCCTTGCGCGTCGGGCCCCCGAGCCCTGCGGGGGCGCGCGCGCTGCTCCGCTGGTCCCGCGGCCCCGCGGCCCACATAAGGAATCGTGACCTGGGTTCTGGGCTGTGGAGCTCCAGGGGCCCACATGCAGGAGGAATTGTGACCTGGGTTTTGGCCTGTGGGGCTCCCGGGCCCAAAGGACGAATCGTGACCTGGGTTTTTGTCATGTGGTTTTGTCGTGGAGGCCTTGCGCGTCGGGCCCCCGAGCATTGCTGCCGGGGGGCGCGCGCGAGGCGGGGTGCTCCGCTGCTCCGCTGCTCCCGTGGCCCGGCCCACAAACGGAATCGTGACCTGGGTTCTGACCCGTGGAGCTCCCGGGGCCCAAAGGAAGAATCGTGACCTGGGCTTTGGCCTGTGCGGTGTTTTTACTGGGCCTTGCGCGTCGGGCCCCCGAACCCTGCTGCCAGGGGCGAGCGCGCGGGGCAGGGGGTGCTCCGCTGCTCCGCTGCTCCCGTGGCCCGGCCCACAGAAGGAATCGTGACCTGGGTATTTTGGCGCTGTGGAGTTCTCGGGGCCCATAAGAGGAATCGTGACATGGTTTGGGCTGCAGGGCTTTTGGGGAGGGCTTTGCGCGTCGGGCCCCGGGGCCCGCCCGCGCTCAGGCTTTGGCCGTGAAGTTTCTATTTGGCCTTGCGCGTTGGGGTTTTTGCCTTGCGCGTAATCTCCGGCTGGAAGGGGGGAGGGGGCGAGGGGGTGGCAGGAGAAGAAGAAATACGAACAGTGGAAATCTTGACTAAGGACGGGCGCTCAGGACTCAAGGGCATTGGCCGCCGAAGTACTGCTCCGAAGGACGCCGCCCGCCCTAGGGGGTACCCCGAGGGGCCTGCCAGCGCAACCGGCGAAGGACGGGCCGCAGAAGCGAAGGCGCAAGGGCACCCTAAGATGCACCGTTAGCCCTTATTATGGATCTTGACTTTGCGCGTAGATGAACGCACGCGGTGTTCCAGAAAGCACGCTGCGCGCGTCGGTGGGATGTGCAGGCGGCGCGCCGGGGGCGAGTGAGACAGGGCGGGCCGGAAGGCTCAGAAGTTCCCCGGCCTTCAGAGATGCTGTTTCTAAGCCTTCCCCGAAGACGTGGAAAACTTCTCAGAAGGCGCGAGGGCTTCTGAGAAGTCCCCCCCGCCTCCTGAGAAGGCCTTCTCCTCCTCGTTTCCCACCCGCGCTCGCCGCCGAATGTGTGGCGGCCTCGAGAACCGGGGGGGTGGGGGCGGCATATGGCATTTTCATAATTGTATCAAGGGCTCGGCGGGTACGTCCTTTCTCTCCTGGGACCCGCCTTCCAAGAAGGTAATGCTTGCTTCTGAGAAGGCATCGGAAGCTCCCGGGAAAGCTTTTTAGACGCCATGGCGCTTTCCGGGAAGCCTCGCTGCCTGCTGAGACCCCCTCCCCCCCCGTCGCCCCACAGCCGTGTCGGACGGCGGCAGCTCTGAACAACAACTGCTCGCGGCAACGGTACCGTTCTGGGCCGAAGACCGTGTCTGCGCAATCCTGGTTGGGCCAGGACAGCGAAGACACAAGTTCTGAGCCCAAGAGTGGCCTGGCCCAGAAGGGTGCCAACGCATGGCTGTCGTCCCAACTTTTGCGCGCCGCCTGCTGGCCCCGTGGTCACGAGAAGCCCCCGAAACGCCCAAGAGATCTCTGAGCGACGTGCTCTTCGTCGTCGTCGTCCACGTCGTGGTCGTTCCGCCGCGCCCCCCCCCTCCCGGGGTGCCGTTTTGGAGCCAGCCACGCGACCCTTCACGAGGCGCGTGTACTTCGCGAGCACCTGGGGGAGGGGGGGGGGCGTCGCCAAGAGTCGAGCGTCTCCTCTCCTCTGGGGGGGGATGCAATCTATGCGTGGGATGCAGGATCCCGCCGTAAAACATCTAGAGGCGCACTTGTCGTCGATGCTTGAACTTCCTTGGATGTCTTAGGGTTTCTATGGGTCCACAGGGCTGTCGTGGGATGACAAATTTCTATGGGGCACCTGCTGGCAAACAAATTTCTTCTGTAATGTGCCTACAACACACTACAGACTACAACATACAGGGTCAAATCTGCTCTGGCGGAGTAAGTATCGGGATCCGACCCGGGTCTGCAATAAGTGCTCTAAGGGCAGAGAAGAGGAGACTAAAAAGGAGGATGATAATGAGGAGGGGTCGGAGGAGGCGGAGGTGGAGGAAGACGAGGAGGGGAGGTGAAGGAGGACGAAGTGAATGGGGGCGGAGGTACAGGAGGTCAAGAAAGAGGACGACGACGACGACGACGAACTCCTCCTCCGCCTCCTCCTCCTTTAACAATATATCCGAGTGCGTTCCGGCAGGAGCTTCGGAGAGGGAGTTCAGCCGTGGCGACAAGCCTCTTAGCGGCTCAAACAAGGAACGAAACGGCAAGGCGCCTTGAAACTCGATCCTCGATCCGTGGAGTAGAAGTAGTAGTAGTAGTAGTAGTAGTAGTAGTAGTAGTAGTAGTAGTAGTAGTAGTAGTAGTAGTAGTAGTAGTAGTAGAAGTAGTAGTAGTAGTAGTAGTAGTAGTAGTAGTAATAATAGTAGTAGTAGTAGTAGTAGTAGTAGTAGTAGTAGTAGACGTAGTAGTAGCAGCAGCAGCAGTAGCGTAGTAGTAGTAGTAGTAGTAGTAGTAGAGTAGTAGAGAAAGAAGAAGTAGTAATAGTAGTAGTTAGTAGTAGTAGTAGTAGTAGTAGTAGTAGTAGTAGTAGTAGTAGTAGTTAGTAGTAGTAGTAGTAGTAGTAGTTAGTAGTAGTTAGTAGTAGTAGTAGTAGTAGTAGTAGTAGTAGTAGTAGTAGTAGTAGTAGTAGTAGTAGTAGTAGTAGTAGTAGTAGTAGTAGTTAGTAGTAGTAGTAGTAGTAGAAGTAGTAGTAGTAGTAGTAGTAGTAGTAGTAGCAGTAGTAGTAGTAGTAGTAGTAGTAGTAGTAGTAGTAGTAGTAGTAGTAGTAGTAGTAGTAGTAGTAGTAGTAGTAGTAGTAGTAGTAGTAGTAGTAGTAGTAGTAGTAGTAGTAGTAGTAGTAAGTAGTAGTAGTAGTAGTAGTAGTAGAAGGAGTAGTAGTAGTAGTAGTATTAGTAGTAGTAGTAGTAGTAGTAGTAGTAGTAGTAGTAGTAGTAGTAGTAGTAGTAGTAGTAGTAGTAGTAGTAGTAGGTAGTAGTAGTAGTAGTAGTATAGTAGTAGTAGTGTATTAGTAGTAGTAGTAGTCGTAGTAGTAGTTAGTAGTAGTAGTAGTAGTAGAGTAGTAGTAGCAGAAGCAGTAGCAGTAGTAGCAGTAGCAGTAGCAGTAGCAGTAGCAGTAGTAGTAGTAGTAGTAGTAGTAGTAGTAGTAGAAGTAGTAGTAGTAGTAGTAGTTCGTAGTAGTAGTTAGTAGTAGTAATAGTAGTAGTAGCGTAGTAATTGGTAGCGCAGTAGTAGTAGTCGTAGTAGTAGCGTAGTAATAGTAATAGAATAGTAGTAGTAGTAGTAGTAGTAGTAAGTAGTAGTAGTAGTAGTAGTAGTAGTAGTAGTTAGTAGTAGTCGGTTAGTTGAGGTAGTTGTAGTAGTAGTAGTCGTCGTAGTTAGTAGTAGTAAGTAGTTAGTAGTTAGTAGTAGATAGTAGTAGTTAGTAGTAGTGTAGTAGAGTAGTGTAGTAGGTGTAGTAGTAGTAGTCGTACTAAGAGAAGGAGGAGGAGGAGAGGAGGAGGAGGAGGAGAGGAGGAGGAGGAGGGGGAGGAGGGGGAGGAGGAGGAGGAGGGGGAGGAGGAGGGGGACGAGGCAAGCTAGGTGCGCTAGCGTCACATCTGACGTCCTATCCCTGAAATCTCACCGGTGTCGGGGTCTGACGCTCAGGGGCTTCATACCTCAGTACACGAGCAGAAGACATCAGAATTCAGCATAATCTTCTTGCGCCTGACACTTCCTGGCGTCATCTGAGGAATTCTGGCAAATTGCCAGAGCATCCTTGCATATTCTGACAACGCGCGCTCAACGAGAAGGTCGCCAGCGATCTCATTCGTAACGATATTGTTTGCGACGATAGCGCTCGCAGTCGGAAAGTTCTCGATCCCTGCGTTCTCGTTCGCCATCGTCAGCGTCATTCACCATCGTCCTCCTCATCATCGTCGATATTCGAACACTCGCCGCCCAAGGTGCTGGGCTGACGCGGCGGCGGGACTTGCTGCGGGCAGCCGCACGCCAGAAACGTCAAAAGCCTCGATAATCGATCCCCGATCGAGCTCGGGGGATGGGGGAGGATGATCGATGCGAGGGAAAGGGAAGGAGGAGCAGAAGGAAGAAGAGGAGGATGAGGATAAGGAAGAGGTCGAGGAGGAGGAATGAGGAGGATGTCCTCGGAGTCCGGAGGTCCGCGGAGACCTCTGGAGACAGCGAAGGGCCCCCGGAGGCCCAACGACGCCCAGAACAAACAAATACCTCAATCCTCGATCTTAAGCCTCGAACGACGACGAGGGCGAGAGCGAGGGCGGCGACGACGACGACAACGACGACGAAGACGACGACGACAAGGTCGAGGTCGAGGCAGAGGCCGAGGCCGAGGCCGACGAGATTTGGCGGCGAGCCGAGGCGGGGAAGGCAGCGGCGACCAGCCTTCTTCAAAGACAAGTGGCGCTTCTTAAAGGCCCGCTGGCCTTCCGGCTGCGAGTGCACCCGCGTCCATTCTTCGAAGATGGATGCCTGCGTTGCCGCGGCTGTGTCCGTCTTCAGCCCGATCCTCGATTTTCCGCTTACCCAGGAGGGGTTGGCCCGGGCAACGACCGTTACGCGCCAGAGGGAAATAATAACATCTGGCAAGCCGCGAAGTAGCGCGTTCAGAACTGGAACCAGCAACGAGCATTCCAAAGCGAATGCCGCAACCGTGATGGCCCATCACGGGAGCCTGCACAGCAACTGGAATGTGCGATTTGGGCAAAGAAGAAGAATGGGATGTTATTCCTGCATGTCCTGTCCCGTTTTGAAGATCTGCAGCCACGTCGTGCCAACCATATCGGGATCCGTAGTTCGCCACCGCGCGCTCGGTGCGATGAGGCGCGTGAAAAACGAGCTTGTTGCCTGGCGGGGGTCGCGCAAGTTCTCTCAACGGGGGGCGCCCTGCGCCCCGCGCCCCGCGAGAGCCCCCGTGAACCGAGCCCCTCCCCCTGCTCCTTCCTCGCCCTCCCTCTCACATTCCTCAGCGTTTTCGTTTTCTCCCCCCGTCGTCATCGCCCAGTCGCAATCCGAATACATTGCAAGACAAAAAAGAGGGGGGGAGGCGCGGAGGAAGACGAAGGGGAATGGGACAGCTCGAGCGAAGCAACGCGCCCCGCCCATTCTACCCTCGCTCCCATGCTGTCGACAGACCACATGGCCATCTGCAAGTGGCCTGGCCGCCTCGATGCGCAGATCCCCATGCGATGAGAACGTCGCGCAGGAAGCGCCGGTCTTCAAAACGCAATCATTGGCGCTCGTCCCCAAGGTTCCCCCGCGATCGCTGGGGTCGCAAACGCAGCCCCAAAAATACCATGCCGCAGCTTGGTTCGATCGCGCAGTTCCAAGTGGCCCTTATGAGGCCCCGTAAGCATAATTCCCCGAAAGCATGTTCAAGACTCCCACTCCTTACCATGTCGTAGTTTTCCTATCTATTCGCGCAGTCGGATGTCTAGCAGGGCAATGATCCCAAGAGGGTACGCGTTGGATGGAAAAGCATGGCATAGAAGAGCAGGGCAGAGCATAGCATGTCATAAAATGTCGTGGCATTGCGTAGTGAAGCATGAAGCATTGCATCACAAAGCGTAGCAACGCAAAGAATGGCATCGCACAACGGTGCGCAACACAACATCGCATTGCATGCCGTGGCATGACACAACAGAACTTGAAGGGTAAAAGGCCCGTCTACGTGTCCCCCAACCGTGCCTGCCCGATGTGGGCGTCTTCGAATGCCAAGTACCGTCTGGAGGCGCGGGAACGAGGCCAGCGCTGCAGTGGTAGACCGATTTTGAATGACCGAAGCGCCGAAATGACGGCGGCGCTTCAGCAAGAACACCACGTTGGAAGAACCAAAAACGACCAGATTCAAAACACATATTAGAACAACAAAACAAATTAAATCCCGTGAAAACAATACGCGGAGAGGACCGGGACACTCTCCGGACAGATCCAGGGGAGCGAGGAGAACAGTACTCATATTGTGTAACTGTAGAGCGAGCACATGGGAAGATGTGGAGAGTCAAGGTGATAGCTAAAGTCGAGCAGCAGGAGCAATATAGAGGCATAGCGCACCAAACACAAGAAAACGACCAACCTCGAGGCACCCGCAACAAAGGCAGGGTAGAGGCATCGCGGGTGGGCCACATCGGCGCCAAATGCGAATCACAAATTTCACATGCCGCTGTGCCGTTTGTCTTGACCGCGCACAAATGGACAACGCCGGAACGCCGGCACCAGGGCAAACCCACGGCAAACCCATGGCAAACCCTGTGCCCCGCGCCCCAAGTAGACGACGCTTGCACACCGCGGCATACCACGCGGCGAACCTATCGCGTCCGAGGCGGCGTTTGCCTTGGTGCCCGCGGCGCCCTCCCCAAGACGCAGGGCCGCGCGTCGAAACAAACGGCGCGGCGACACACAAATCGTACATGGCCCGCTCAAGGTATTCCGACTCCATTTTTTTGTCGGCGAGGTCTTTTGGGTCCAGGACCGCGGTCGGGCCAACGGGGGAATCTGAATCCAAACGCGTTGCTATTTCTCTGGGAGCGAGGTGGAACTTTTTCTTCCGGGGGGCTTCCGCTGGCCCTCCGCCGTTGCGTCGGGGATGCGCTGACCCGGGCCAGCGCGCATGTCCGCGCTGACCCGGGTCAGCCAGGGCCATGCCGCGAACTCCAGTCTGCCGCGGAGAGGCTCCCAGACCTTGGTCAGCGAAGAGAGCGGGAGTACTGTTCCAGCGACTGCACGGAGGAGTGACCCTGGGCAAGAGTGACCTTTGATACGCGGCTTTTGGGGGGCCGCGGGGGAATCAAACAGAACAGCGCGCAAGACGCTACCATCGCATAGCGTTCGGCGATCGGGGAGCCCCAGTGGGTCCGCACCAAAGGTCACTCTGGCGAAGGGTCACTCTCACGCGCAGTCGATTCTACACGTATGGCTCCCAAGCCCCGGGCAGCCAGGAGGGATCGGAAGAGACTGCCGGCCCTCAACCCTCGTCATGTGCCCCCTGACTTTCCCTCCGTCGCCTTCCGCCGGCCTTCGGCAGAGCACGATGATTCGACGTTGTCGGCCCCCGACGGCGATGCCCCCATCCTGGAGCGCCCCGACCGAGAAAACTGCTCAGGCATAAGAACCAACGACTGCGAAGGAAACTCACACCGATATCAGGCCTAGCCAGTGTGTGGAAGAGGGGGGGAGAAACAAGTTTCGGCTGCGTTTGCTATATTGCGGCCCCAGATGGGGCCACCTCGCTCCTGGAGATCAGTCCGCAGGAGGCATGGTGTGGACCTGGCCACTCCAAGATCTCCCCCCACGGTGCCTTCAAAACAAGAGGACGATGGGGAGGAGAATGGCCGTGAAGGGAAAAGGGTCCTCACGGAAACGGGTCCTTGACCCCAGTGCTTCCCCTGGGGCTTGCTCTTCGTCCTGAGCAGTTGTTTGACGGCCCCGGGCCTTTTCAATGGCCCATCGAGGCCCGAAAACAGCGAAACACCTCAAGTCCCCTTTGCGTGGAGCTCAGCAGTGCGCGGCCTTCGATGTGACCGTCGGATTCCAACATTTGAGGAACTACTCCTGAACCGTGGACTCCCTCTCGTCGTAACCCATCGCGAATGCAAGTCCCCCCGTCTCGACTCTGCCCTTCCCCTGACCCTGGCGATAGCGAAAGCGAATGGGAGAAGATCGGGCTCCAAACCGAGCCGCATCGCCGATGCACCTGCGATTCGGCCCGATCCTCCTCCGACTCGCCTGCTCGGACCCCATCCTGGAGGCCTGGAAAAGCCGAAACACCTCTGGATCACTTTCCCTCATGACGATCCCTTTCCTTCATGCTTGCGGAAGCCAATAGGTACCGAGACCGCTACTCTCCAGACTTCTCCCGGGGTGCGTTATGACCAGAATTTCGAAGCGAATCCAGCGGTGGTGACGAGGGCCTCCCAGGAGTCCCAGACAAGGGGGAAAACCAGGCATGGGCAGCGATAGGGGTATCTTTTCCTCTTCAATGCTGAGGAAGATGACGAGGACCCCCGCCCTTCCTCGCGAACCCGGGCTGGCCGCGCAAAACTCCCAGACCCCGGTCTGCATCGGCCCCACGCGGCTCCCACCCCCCGGGGCGGCCAGAGGGGATTGGCTGACCCCTGTGACGTGAGTCCCGGCTCCACGAGGACGACAGAAGGATAAGCCGCGGCATTCACATACACGTTCGCAGGCCCGCGTGCGGATTTCTTGGATGAGTGCTGGGCCCCCCTCCCTGGCGCGCGGAGCGCGCCAAAGGCGGCGCCAGTGGCCCCGCAAGGCGGACCCGGCTCCGATCCAAGAGCACGTCATGTTTATCCAGCTCGTTTCTTCGTCGGGGCGAGGAGGACTGAGCGGGAACGACGGGGGTGGACGGGCTCAGCGGGGGGACATCGAGCTGGAATCGGCGCGACACATCGCCAATAGATCGGTGACAGGCCCGCAACTGCGAAACCGCACGTTCCTGGGCTAGGTGGGCCACCAGACCCCTCATCGGCGGTGCATGCGCGACTGGGATTCGATGCTTCCCCCCTGGGGCTGAATATCCTCCCTGGCGCTGCCCCCGATCCCTGCCTCTAGAAGAACAAGCAATGGCATAAACACACACACACACACGCACGCACACACACACACACACACATTGAGATCCGTGCGCGAATTTCTTGGATCGGCGCTGGGCCCCCACCTCCCTAACGCGCCACGTGAGCCAAGGACGGCACCAGGGGCGCTGCCATATGGGGGGCTTAACGCCGATCCCAGAAATCCGCGCGGAGTTCTGACACATGTTGCTTATGCAATTCTTTGCTTTTCGGTCTTCGCGGCATGCCCGATGCCCGGGCCTCGTGCCGGTGCAGCGCGAAGAAATCCTCCGTCGCGTCCTTCCCAGGGGGGGGGGGGACAAAAACGCCCGCCTCGTCGTCGTTGTCCTCGCGGTCCTCGTTGTGCTCCTCGTCCTCCTCGTGCTCGTCCTGGCCCGCCTCGTTGGCCTCATCGTCCTCCTCCCAGGCTTCCTCGCCCCCCCCCATGTCAGTTTTGTGTTTGTGCTCGTCCTCGTGGTCCTCTTCGTCGCCCTGCTCGTGCTCATCCTCGTCCACTTCGTCTCGTGTTCCCCGTCCTTCAAGTCCTTGTCCTCCTCATGCTCGTCCACGCCTCCTGGGCCTCCGCATCTCGTCCTCGTCCTCGACCTCCTCTTGCTGCTGCCCCTCCGACTCCTGCTCTCTGCCGGCCCTGCTCCCCCAAGTCAAATTCGCGCTGGTGCGCTGGAGCCCGAATGGAGGTTACACTTCTCCGTCGCCCAAGCCCGAAAGAAACTGCACTGCGCGCGTAACTCCCGCTCTGCGGGCTGCAGGCCGGTGAGCTGGTCTGTGCTTCTCCTCGGACAGCACCAACCAAACCTGCAGCGAGCACCGGCAGGATTAGCTGCAGCCGACGCCTGAGCTCCTCCGCGGCGCCGTCGAACTGCGCGACCTGCCTTCAACTCGAGGGCCGCTAACTGCCGCCTCGGCCAGCTTGGATTTCAGCTGCACCACCTCGGCGCGTGCCAAAGACAGGCCGAGATCAGCCGCCTCGCAAACCCGCCTCCGCGGGGCAGTGCGCTGCGCCCTCGAGCGACGAAAAACTTCAGGATCGCTTGCAGCGGCGACCCCGCCCGTACCATCTTGAAGAACACGAACAGAGAAACGACCAGCTCCAGTAGCTCCAGCCGATGGAAACATCGCCATGCCAGCTTGAGCAATGGGGCTTTCGCGCGCTGCTGTGCAGCTTGAGCCAAAATGGCTACGGAACACCGCCTGCTCCTCCTCCTTCTCCTCCTCATCCCTCCCCTCCCCCTCTTCCTGCTCCTCCTGCTCCTCTTGTTCCTCCTGCTCCTGCTCCTGCTCCTGCCCCTGCCCCTGCTCCTGCCCCTGCCCCTGCCCCTGCTCCTGCTCCTCCTCCTCCTCCTCCTCCTCCTCTTCCTCCTCCTCCTCCTCCTCCTCCTCCTCCTCCTCCTCCTCCTCCTCCTCCTCCTCCTCCTCCTCCTCCTCCTCCTCTCCTCCTCCTCCTCCTCCTCCTCCTCCTCCTCCTCCTCCTCCTCCTCCTCCTCCTCCTCCTCCTCCTCCTCCTCCTCCTCCTCCTCCTCCTCCTCCTCCTCCTCCCTCCTCCTCCTCCTCCTCCTCCTCCTCCTCCTCCTCCTCCTCCTCCTCCTCCTCCTCCTCCCCCTCCTCAAAGGCATAGAATGGTCGGCACGAGCAAGCTCGGGAGCTCCGCATCCTGGCCCGCGTAGTCCAGCAGCGTCATCCTCGGCGGGCCAAGGCGGGGTGGGGGGGGCGCTGCGCTGCGCCTCCCCGAGGCCAGGCGCCCCGGAAACCACACCGTGGCCGCACGGGACTGCTCGTGTGGCCCCCCCTGCGCACCGTGTTGAGGTCCTGCTGGGGCTCACCAACGTAGCTGCCCCGACACGCAACACGCAACACGTGGCGTGTTGACACGGAGCTCAACATGTAGACTGAACACGTAGGTTCGCCCAAACGTGGACGCACACGTTGAGCCAACTTACAAAAAGTTGATGCGAACGTTTTGAGAAGGGCACATGTTGCGCATCAAAACGCGCGTCTCGCTCGAGACATCCTCAAGACCTGGGCACGTGAACAAACATCAGCTCACCTGAGACATCCTCTGAATTCTGGTCCCCAGGAGAGGAACGATCTATAGCCAACAAACGTTTCGCTCGAGAGATCCTGAACACAGTATGTAACATAAGCGTTTCGCTCGAGACATCCTCAACGAACGAACATGCTTACTTTACCCTCTGCTTCCTCTATCGGAATTGCAAACAAAGCGCTTCGCGAGGTGGCATCGTCAATGTTTAATCCGCTGGCCCTCTTCGACCACGTTATGTATCAAGGATAGAATCCGCCAGCCCTCTTCGAACTTGGCACCAAGGGGAAAGTATACCTACGAAAAAACACCCTGGGCCTGTCCTTTCCCGGGAAATCATCTCATTCCCTTACACGTGCATGCTTTACGATATTCGCTTCTTTGAGTTTGTCAGCGTCCACGACGGACGAAGCAGCCTCCAAGACCGATTGAAGACGGTCCACGAGGCCCCAAATAGGCCACAAGACGGCCCTACAGGGCTGTAGAACGTCCCAAGACAGCCCCAAGACGGCCCAAGAGGGGCCCCTTGAGTGTCTCAGAAAGGTTCTAAGGGAGCCCCAAGAGAGCCACAGGAGGTCTCCAAGAGGGTCCCGCAACAACCCAAGAACCCCCAAGACCGCCCCAAGACCCCCCCCAGAGAGAGAAGTGCGCCAAGACGGGCCACGAGAGCCCCAAGACGGCCCAAGAAAGACCTCCCAGGATCCCAAAAGGTTCCCAAAAAAAAAACACGACGGACAACATGATCGACCCAGAACCCGGAAAAGGATATCCGCCGATATCCGCCGATCCGGCGTGTGAGTTTCTGAGAGCGTGGGCTTGAGCTCGCTCAAGCTTCGCTCTGCCAGGGGGGGGACCTCATCCGACCTCATCCGACGCATTCAATGCTCGGCACCTTCCCCCTCGACGCCGGCCCCCCCCCCTGGTGCTGCCCCCACCCCGCAGGCGCCCCCCCGGTGCCCGCACCTGTGCTCGGCACCCCCTCCCCGATGTCCCCCCTCCGATGCCGGCCCGGTGCTGGCCCTCCCTTCCCCCCAGTGACGGCCCCCCCGCCCCACCCCGGTGCTGGCCCCCCCCCCCCCACGCCGACTTTCCCACCCCAGTGCCGGCGCTCACTCCCAGGTGCCGGCCCCCCTCCCCAAAGCCAGCACCTCCCCCTCCTCCTCCTCCTCCTCCTCGTCCTCCACTGGCCTTAAGTCGGGCCTGTCCTCCTATCACAAGTCATCAAAACAAACCCCAAAATTGCCAAAAATGCTTGAAACAAATCCCAAACTATGTTTTAACTATTTCTGAATATCCTCCCTGTAGAGGGACAGGCCCGACTTAACCCTGGCCGGAAACCACTACAATAAATATACACAAATAGCAGGACCCCCCGTATTCCCCAAACCGCCCAAACAATGTTCAATAACGGTCAAAAAATAATGGCCATACTATTTTTTACTATTTTCGAACATCCCCCTGTAGAGGGACAGGCCCGACTTAATCCTAACGAGCTGTTCAATGGCGCGGTTTTCCAGGAAGGTGTCACGGTGGATGTCTCCTTCGATTTCGGCACAGGACGAGCTCTGCCCTGCGATTGCTTCTTCATTCGCCTACCGAATGGGAAGGGATATCATCTCAGACGTTAGCCGCGTGTTCGGGGTACGGGTGCAAGCGGCTGACAGTACCGTTCTGGCACATCATGAAGAAAAAAAACAGGCCGCTCTCGCAACCAAGATATTTGGTTTAAGCGTTCAGCTTGTGCTGCGGCCAGAAAAAAGCGGTCTCAACCTCTGTCAGACCTCGTTGCCGGCTGATGGTCTCGAACTCACGTCGCGCTTCAGCGGCCTATCGGCACAGGGCAAGGGGCAACGGCAGCTTGCAGGTGCAGCAGCCATCTGGTGCTGGGAGGGCACTAGCTGATGACCTCCCTGGAAAAATTCACGCAGTAATTCCGACGTGTAGTGGGGCTCCGTCTTAGGATACTTGGCTGCAGGAGCACAGGCGTATATTTAGATGATCTTTCGGTGGGGACCTTGGAGATTCCCAGGGGATTCGCTGAGAAGGCCTCCAATAGTTCTTGGGGCTGGGCGGCCCACGCGTCTTTGAACAAGTTTCACGACGTTGGCGGAGGGGACCTCTTACGGGGCCGACGAGAAGCAGCGTCTCTCTCTGTTCATTTTGTGGTTTGATACTATGCTGACAAAATCCCTCCAACGATTATGACGATGACTTCTATTACGAAGATTAGACGGCTCTCGTATTTGTATCGCGGTAGCAGTGCGAGCGAGCCGCCCAAGTCCCTTGGGCATTGTGATACCGTTGAGAGGGATGCAAGTGGATCAGATCGGCAGCCAGTCATTGTAGAGTATACCACTACTTCTATGAAGGCGGGGCGGCATCAATTCAGAATTCGTTACCCTCATCGTAAGTCATGGCAGCGACTTGGCCAAGAGGTTCGGATATGTATCACGAACACAGGGGGACTCGACTGGAGCAGGCTCGACAATCGAGACAAACTTCAGATGCTTTTTCGTGAGCACCGACGGCAGCATGTACAGATATGCCTCGTATCCGAACTCCAAAACAATACCTTTATGTTAGGCAACAGTACCCCCACCATCGTCAAGATTGAAGAGTTCGTCTTAATCATGGGTGAGAAATGTGGTGTTTCGCTTTCGATGCCTGCCCAGATGGCTTGGAGGGCGGCATCATCTACTTTGATGTCTGATGGATCAATGGTTGTACTATGGGGAGATAGATGTGTTGCTATACCTGTATTGTTGGAAGGGTACTATATGATGTGGGTTGCGTCCGTGTGTATACCTACTGGGGTCTCGGCGGGATACATATCACTGGTATATGATGAACTATCTCAGCTTCGCCACAAGTGCATCAGTTTTCACCAAGCTCCAATACTCATAGCAAGGGGCTGGAACGGCCATGTAGGACAGGACACAACATCGAACGACATTCAGCTGGGGGGACAACTGATGGAACAGAGTACTACGGACGGAGGGAAGGCTTTTCTACGCTTGTTGACTACTACGAATATGATCAGCACGGATTCCTTTTGTACTATTCTGTCTAGAGGGACGTGGAAACATAGAAATGGAACATGGTATGAACTTGACAAATATGTTATGGATCGGGAATTACACATACAAGTATTGGGTATACATCTGACGGCCTGGGGAATATCGGACCACATGAGCAAGCAACTTGACCTTAGAATCCCCCTTGCAGGCACCAAGTCCCGAAAACAGGCTCGCAACCAGTTTCATCTGCAATGTGCAAGAAAAGCCAAAGAGCAAGCAATTAAACCACCGCTCAGCATACATCGCTACCGGGGCCCATCAGCACAAACACAATAATTACGGCAAGCATATCGTACGCGTGTCGAACAGCTCCTCCAAGCAGACCCCACATGGGAACCCCATCCAGGCTCGCACGCATATCGTGTACACAGTACTGAGCAGGCGCGGCACCTCCATATCTTCACCGACGGCTCAGGCACAGAGGAGGGGGCTGGATGGGGGATGGCGATACTAGATGCGAGCACTATGCAGTGGACAGATTATCACGGCCCAATGGTCACTCTTCAGAACGATGACCTTCGGCCGCTTTTCGTGGGATCAGAAATACTTACGAATAACACGGGTGAATTATCGGCAATGATTATGGCAATGTGGTGGATCTTGGAAAATACTACACGGGATGATGTGATTACCATACATTATGATTCGCAGTATGCTATGAATATGATTGTGGGCAACTGGCGACCTGGATCTAATCGGAAGTTGGTAGCGACGGGCCGAGCATTCTATAGAAGGACCCGCCGCTTGCGGGACATAGCATTGGCACACGTCAAGGGGCATAGTGGCGACGTCGGCAACGACAGGGCGGACACCAACGCAGACCTCGGCGCCAAGCGGGTGCTGAAGCTGTGGGACCACATCGGTCAGGCGGCGTCAGGAACGCAAGTCCCAGGCGGGTGCTCCTCGAGTCCGACCTGGGCTACGTCGCCACTTGCGGACGCGGATGGCGTTAGGACGCAAACTCAGCAGGGCGTTAGAACGCAAGTCCCAGGCGGGTGCTCCTCGAACCCGACCTGGGCTCAGTCGCCAATGGTTGTTGGATCCAATTCGGCCATCGTCGGTATCAGAACGCAGCCTCAGGATGAGGAGAGAACGCAAGTCCCAGGCGGACGCTCCTCGAACCCGTCCTGGGCTCCGTCGCCAACAGTTGCTGGATCTGAGTCGGTTCTCGTCGGAGTCAGAGCGCAAGCTGAATTTCGGCCTCCACCTGGACTCCCCCCACCAGGAGAACGCATGGGTCAGGAGTACCACGACCCCTTCGATGACCTCGAAGAGGCGCTGGAAGAAGTTCCTGAGGATGATGAATCGTGTGTTATTGCTCCGGTACGAGAGGAGGCTCTTCACCCTCCTCTGGACCCTGAGCATAAATTTGTGGATATGGTATGTGATGCTGACGAGAATATTGAGACGGCCCCGCCACGTACACGAATGACATGGTCAAAGTTAGCTCAGCCTATGGTGACGGCAGCCGAAGACGTTCTTGGTAGGGGTAAGCCACACACTCAAGTTGGCACCCCATTTTTAGACGAGGACATGGAGAAGATCATCGCCCTTCGACGGAAAC